GCCTGCCTGCCGGACGCGCTCGCCTCCGGGCGCTCCGTACCCTGAGGGATGGGGCTCGGTCGCGTGTGGGGAAGGGGAGGCGGAGGGGCGAGAGGAAAGGGCGTTAGGGGAAACGATCATGGCAAGTGCACACCTTCACACTTCGAAAGATGGTCTAACGCGCTTGGGAGTAACTTGGGTGTAACTCGCCCAAACGGAAAATACCGAGATGCCGGCCAACAGCTGTAGGCTGTAGCTGCACCGACAGCCCATCCGTTTATCAACTTCATGTGCAACATGGGAGTGTTGCCGGAGGGTCTCACATTACCTTTTGAAAGTTCTTCAGTAATGTGCAAGTGTGTTAAAAAGTTCAGTATTTAAAAATCGGGCTGCAGATTGCATGTGTAATAATAATCTTTCTACAAAGCCGATACATTTACCCACACTCTTCTCGTGGGTATTAGAGCGCGCTATCTCAGAGCACTTAAGTTACAAAGCAGTTCAAAGGCTAGGAACTGCTGGAACGGAGATTGCCTACAAAACCATAACTGGGTTATTCTGAAAGAATGAGTCAGTCTTTATGAATAAGTTATGATGTGAGAATGTAATTAAAGGACCCCTGCCTCATACCTGAGCATAGCCGACTACTCACTTTGCAAGTATTTAATTATTTTTTTTGTCTCCTATGTCCTATTTATTAAGCAGTATTAAAGACCAGTTGTAATAATTTACAGTCTATTTCCTCATAGGTTTTCTGAGGTATTCATCAGTATAGTATCTGAACGTACTTACTTCTTTCACACTTCTGTGAAACTATATTATCATCCCTCTTTTTCAGATAGGTAGGTGGGCTGACACAGAAAAAGCATCCACTAATTTTAGGTTCCCATGGTGACACGTTAGAACCCAATTTTACCTACGACTACTTAAAATTATGTGCAACTTCAACTACTCAAAGCCTGGCTCTCACTGAGTATTGCAGTAGTTCAGTACTCCAACCCCAGGATACTCAGCAGGCTGGGAGCATACTATTAGTAAACGTCAATAGGCATTGTTTTAAAGTGATTAAACTAGCTTCATGCTGAACCTTAGTGACAGCTGTAAGGATAAAATCCAGTTTTCCAGAATAGCATTCAGCTGCCTTAATTAAGAGATTCTCTTTTGTCTTCTTGCACTTTTTTTTTTTATACATTCCTACACAGCTTGCAAGTTGACCAAACCAAATCTTGCAAATAGAAGGATCCTAAGGACAAGAGCCTCAATTCATTCTTACAACAGATTCTGTGCACAGAATGAAGCAGGGTCTGGGGGTGGGAAAAAAGGCAATCGCATGATTAAAGACCATAAGGTAAGGTGCTTGCATAATGGGGCCAACTTAAGGTCCCACCAAGCTCACTGCCCCAATTCTACTTCCTGACCTCAGCATGCCCCTATTATTCCTTCTGCATTTTGATCATCCTCCAGACTTCATCCTTTTCACGGCATAAACCTCAGCAAGAACATTAAGAAAAGTATGAAACACTGTTTCACTGCTTCTGCCAGCCTATAGTGATCATTACAGGGAGCCTGGCTTCGCTCCGATAGCTCTGAGTCAGGCATCACAGTCACCCTTCCGTAGGCAGTGAGGAGGAAGGGAAATGCAATTTACCTGTTTCTCAATGCTTGGTCCACAGTATCAAAACAGGCAAATTTATCCTTTTAAAAAATTTACATGTGACCACAGTTTGTGGTGATTGCACGTCAGTAGTCTGGGCAACAAGATGAGGCAAAAAAGGCCATTCCTGATGGCTTATGAAACAAGAGGAAAAAATCTAAGGAAAAAAAAGTTTCCATAGTGCATACAGTTCAAAGGCTTCCACTTCTGGAAAGGTCTTGGAGATGCATCAGAATTCTAGTCTACTTATTCCCAAGTTTCAAGTTCTGAACTACTGGAGTCCTATGACTGTACAAAGGAAATATCACTATAGGAAATCTTACACGTTTAACATCAAAGATGTTTCTGTAGCCTCAGTCTTTGAAAGAACAGCTTAAAATTTCTTTTAAAATCCACAAAACATCACAGACTGTATTAGATGCTAATGATTAATGTAGTTATGTATCATAATTATGCAAAGCTGTGCATCTCTAAAAAAAAAAGATATACCTGCAAAAATAATTACTATGTTTGCATTGTGCCCATTGCAAAGAGTAAAATGTTATGGGAAACATGACCTGTCACAAAAAATTCATGTGTTTCTAAAATGTTTTTCTTCCCCTCTATGCATATGGAAATTTAAGGGACTGGATTTTTAAATACTATTGTAAGCTATTCAGAAAACTAGGAAAAAGGAGAGTAGGAAGCTATAGTGGAAAACATCTTGCAAAGACATAATAATGTACAGCATTTAGCACAGTCTGAACTCTCAAGAGTTTATACAGGCAACAAACCAAGACAGTATGGTGAAGTTCAAACTCTCCAAACATGGCAGGGCTCTGATTTGGACAACAGCAGTTACAAGCACAACACAAATATACTGTGATTACTTACTGTTGCTTTCTCTCAGGCTGTCTTTAGTGTTTACTTAATTTCAGTCTTCAGAAAGTCACCCCATCTCTCTGGCTTATTCATTACAATCCCAAAGAAAACTGCATAGATTTGTTTGGGGTTTTTTCTTTCCCCATCTGCTATTTTATGGTGCCTAAAGTAGCCTTAGGATTGGTATGGTTTGGGTTTCCCTTCAACCTTTACTTTTAAAGCAGCTACATCACATCCAGTTAAATCCGGGTTTGCTGATAGACTAATCTCTAAGTTTTTTTTTTCCTCTCCCAAATATCTGTCTTTAAAGTTTTCTTTCAGGAATGAGAGCAGTTGAAACTTCAACAAAGTTCCAATTCCTATTATGCAATAAACACTGGAATTAAATATTACAGAATATTAAAAACTGTAACAAGACTAGACTCAAATTGTCTAACTGTAAATTATTTTTGTACACTTAGTTGTACTTATTTCCCGTGACCTCTAGATATCAAAACAATGTGGTTTTGATTTTTTCATACACATTATAAAAAGCAATGAAATCAAAATAAATGCAATCTGGTTCCCTCCCTTTCCCCCCCCTGCAATACTGTGTTTGACAGAGCTGCACACAATCTGCATGACAAAAACAAAAGATAGACTAGACATAGAGGGACGACACTACTCTTTCAGGAATGCATAATCAAACCTATAGGAATACTCTTGTCCATAAAGGTAAATGCAAAGTCTTCATAAAAACAAACAAAATCACACAGATTTTATAAACATACCTTATTCATGAAACATTTGGAAATACGCAGAATGTCACTTCGCTCTCTGTATTCCACAGAAGTTCTGATAAAATACTTTGGAAATTTCATTATGTTACTAATACACTAACATTGCCAATACACTAACGTTGCCATCATCATACTGATACTCATTGTTTCCATAGTTCTATGCGTTCTAGGATGGTCTTTCGTCGCTTTTATTAAACTCGGGTTACAAAGCTGTTGGGACAGAGACTTTTCCTTCGGTCATGTTCAGAGTATCTACCGTACAATGCAGTCTTGGTTTATACCTGGATGTCCAGATGCTGTAACACAAATAAACTGCAAGGATAAAAAGTTCACATCATTTTCTTTAACTTACATGGCACATTTTAAAGATTTATACCTGAGCTCCTCCAGGAACAGACAGTTCATCTCTTCTACTTTACATGGATTTAAATCAAGGGACTGGGATTTGTCCAAAATTAGAAAACAATTCTCTGATGCAGCCAGGAATATGACTTGGAAATTCTTAGTTTCCTCTTCCTGCCTTGTGCTCTCCTACACCATCCTTCCCCAGTTGCCAGGAACTGAGACACAATGTAAAAATTCTTCAGGAATTTCTTCAGAATCACTAACACCATGCAGAGCAAACCCAGCTTTGCCATTAACCACTAACGTGGTTCCTTCAGACATTACTGGCTAGCTATAAGAGTCTAGCCAAATCTCACTAAACGTTTAAGAGTATAAGCAGTTGTCATTTGTAATGCTGCAGCCTTATTGCAGTTTTTTTTCAGCTGGGAATTTACTGAACCTGTACTGACAGTGAAGATAACACTTTCAACACTTCATAAAGATAAGAAGCTGGTTATACTCAAATGGATGCTTCTGCTACCCAGAGCTGAAACATATATTCAGAGCTGCAACCGAATGGGAGATGGTCACGTGTCCATCCATGGAACGTGTCAGTTCCACAACGTGACTGTTGTTTTGACACCTAGAACTACAGGTTCCAAAGAGTCCACCCAGTACACCTTATGGACCCTTTGGGAAAGCGTGAGAGGATCTTTTTACCAGAAAGCCTATATAACTGAACAGCAGATAATATCCTGGAATGGGAACCATGACACAACAGATACTATTCATTATCTTAGCAAGAACGTTTTAGTGCCAATTAAACAGTTTTAAAATGAAACTCCGACTACATAGCTAAGGAAGCTTTTTTTTTAACTCCTCAAGATGCGATTGCTTTTAATCGATGGCCAAAGATGCATATGCAAGTTTAAGCACTCGTTTCAACATCCTCTCCTCTCCCTAGATCACGTGCCCACAAAGCAGGAGGGAACAAGATCTGGGAGTAGTCGCCAGTCAGAAGTACTATAAATATTGTCTTAGGAAGCCTAGCTATTTTCGTAAGTAAGGATTAGCTACAAACATTCTTTCTAAAACTTTTTTTACCATTCTCACATACAAACCAATTGTATTTCTTAGTGAGGTGATTTCATGAGGTGTTTAAATCCCTTTGTTTCATGAAATTACAAGTGCTGGAGGTCACCAGCATCCCACACGTTTCAAGTTACTCAACTTGTGCTGGGAACAGTATTTTTCTGGCAGATCTTCCATTAACTGATTATAGTTAATCATATAATCTATTATAATAAATTAGTCTATTAGTCTATTATAATAGATTATATGATTATACATATTATATACAAACTGTATAATCATATAGTTATTCTTTAGGAAAATAAATATCAAAGCCTCCAATGACAAAGTCTAAATATTTTTCTGCTGTCTCTCCCACAGAGATTATCAGTTACTGAAGCTTATTATCTTTCCCAATCTGTGTCCAGTACTGGGAGTTAAGGTTTATAAACTGTTCTCATACCAAAATAAACAATTAGTTTAATTAGTAAGACAACTCTAACCAGCAGCCTTCCACTAATTTGTTTTGTACTCATCCAACTTCTAAAAAATTGCTGCAAATACCTCGGAGCCCGCACTGCAAGGAAATGCTGCCTATTACCATTCAGGGTCTTCGATGCATTAGCTCAACCTGAAGGATGACATGAAGCCCTAAAAAAAGTCATCTGGTGTCTCAACATTTACCTGCTGCCCTGGACCTACTGCTTTAGTACTGACACAGGATAGTTAATAAAGTTCCTAAATACAGTCTTGTTCTGGAGAAATAATGGTGAGAATCTCTTAAACAAGAACAACAAAACCCAAACAAAATGAAACAGAAAAATAAGCAAAACCCTTCTAATGTCCCTGGAAATGACTCCAAGCACCCGCCCACTTCCCTGCTCTACACCCACTGGCCCATTTCCCTGCTCTACCCCCCCCCCCCCCCCCCCGCCCAGTTATTTGGCTGCTTTGTCTAAAAATGAGGAAAAACAGAACCCCATCACAGAGGACATATTTGTTCAAATGTAAAGCATTATATTCTACAAAATAACAACATAGGCAAAATTGCATGTTACGATAAGGAGAAAATACTGCAATACTCAGGGCATCTAATCTTAGCAGTTAGTGGACCTAGACCACAGAACACACGCTAGCCCTTGCCAGTTTTAAGACTGGAAATGACTGAAGTCTGCCATTGTATGCTGCCTTGATGGGAGGAAACCACTGCAGCTATTCAGAGTGTTGTTCAGTATTCTGCTCACTGTAGATTGGGGTAGAAAGGGACTGGGTCAAGCAGCGTGGCCCAAAGTGTCAAAAAAAACCCTATTATTTTCAAGTACTGACATTCATTATCAAAGTTAAAAAAAGTAAAAACAGTTTTATATCTGCATGTTTGATTCAATTAAAGAGTTTTTCTTCCACAGTTTATAAAGGCACTTTTGGGGAAGCCCATTTTAGAAATCGAAGAGGAATTCTTGAATTAGCTGGAGCCATTAGATGTACTACAGGACGATCTCCTTTTGCCTACCTACGTTATGGATGCTACTGTGGTCTGGGAGGAAGAGGATGGCCCAAGGACAGAGTAGACTGGTAAGAGTAACTATTTATCTGAGTAATTGAGTGCTGAATGTATGCAGATGACAGAGTAAAAAGACTAAAATATGAATTAGGCCTATTTAACATCAGTGAGGGAACTGACTGCCAAGAAACTCTGAAGCATTAAAATTGTGTTACTGTAGATCTACGTGAATCTTACTTGCCTTTAACTCAAACTCTCATTGCATTAGTATTGGATTCACAGTACAATTGAGTTTCTTTGCTGTTGCTGTTTGGCCAAGAGCTGAAGAACTAAAGTCTTCTTGGAGAAGCTTGAAAGCGCAAACATTCAAGCTATCTATAAAAATAATAATAATTAAAAAAAAAAAAAAAATCGCAGTTGAAAGGTATTTTGATTCTACTGCCATCCATCCCATTTTATTAGTATTCAAAATAATAGAGAATTATGCAAAATTCAACCTGTTGAAAAATAACTTTTGAATAAAAGGAATTATGAATTATTACTAAAATAATTCTAAAACAGACCTTTGTATTCATTACTAAGTCTCAGCATATTGACTACCATCAATTTAATTTATAATTGAACATTAGCTGACAGGAAGATGATTTTCTGGTTAGTTAAATAAAGGTTTTATATTTTCAAGTTTATCATTATAATGATGCATTTCGCCACCGTATCCAACATCTCAAGTTCTGACGTATCAGACAGATATACTGTAAATTAAAAGGAAAACAAATGTCCGATACTCACATTTAGGGTAAAATATATGGAAAGTTCAAATCTGATTTTTTTTTCTGCATAAAGATTGTAGTCGTGATTAGACCTAAAACTTTTAGAATCTTTGCCTACATATTTAAAGTTTTTGGATGTGTAATCTGTTATTTTAAAGACAATTTTGTAGAATGTAGTTGCTACTTTAATGACTGGGAACACATACAAAAAGGAGTGACTATTATTAGTTCTGGTCATCTGTATACCTAAAGATAATGATGGAGAATCTGCAGTTTGCCAGTCTTTCACTGTAGGCCATTTTTTCCACTTTCTAAAAGTCCCACAGTAGCAAGAAGCTGCTTCTTCACAAAACATGGTTAGCTATTTGTGGTCTGGGTTTTAATAGCTACAGAATGTTAAGAACAAGCCAGAAGTGAGTGTACTTACTCAACTGAACAGAATCAAGAATTGCACCAATTGAATGTAGAGACATTCTTACGAAGTTTGATTTCTTAAAGTTTTGAGCTCCGTTGTGGGCTGTTTACATTCAGAATTATGCCTGAAAACAAGTGAAAATACAGAAATGCTTGTCTGAAGTCAGAATGTCTGTAATGGAATTATTCAAATAATAGTTATTGCAATTTAGATGTTTGCCTGCCACTTATAAAAATAAGCTTTCAAATGAAGACAATCATATATTGCTTTCATAAGATAAAATGTAAAATCCTTAAGCATCTATTTTTATTTAAAAGAGGGCTAAAGTAATTCTGAAATTGTTTGTAAACACATGAAGATAGACTGCACTATGGCAAAAGAAGCCGTATTTCCTGGTTTATTTACCTTAGTACTGCTACAAAGACTCACTAGAAGTCAAATTTTTTTTTTTTTTATTTCTACGCATGAAATGGATGTATTGAGCTACTTCACGGGCATGTGCTGTTCAATTGTTACATACTGCAGGATCTTTAAATGGAGATTCATGTGGAATTACCAAGCAATTATTATTACCAAGCACAGGGAAAAACAGTAATTGCAAGTGAGAGCTCACAGCATTAACTGTTTCTATTGCAGACACAAATTCCTCAGGCAATCTAAACACCATCTAAACTTCATGTGCTCACTGTAATATCATGGTTTTAGGCTACCAGGAGGAAACCAAATGACTAAATGCAAAGAGCTTGCGGATACATCCTGTTCTTCCACTGAGTCAAAAAAAAAAAAAAGCGTATAGTTAGTTTGCAGCAAAAACTTAAAAGCTATCTAGTTTCAGATCCTCGCCACCTCCCCCACTTGCTATTCCGGGCTTGCAATGACTCTACATCAGAAGAGTAATTCTTTTTTTAAGCATTAAAATATGCCATTAATGCTTACCTGTACTGTTCAGTTCCACAGTGTGATAGAAAGTCTATGAATTCTTTGTCCCAATTATGACAGGGACAATTTGAAATCATCATTTTGGGCAATTTTCCAAATTTTCTCATAATACTGAGCAAAGAGTTTTAGTTATATTATAGCATTAAACAGTACCCATGCCTGTTTATTCCCAAACATTCCACCTGCTCTTAGCTTTTCTGCCACCATCTAAGGACTTCACTAGAAGACAACATTTATGATTGTATGCTACAGCCTAACAAATCTTCTTGTCCCTTCCCTATTAGTAACTGTTACAATAGTGTCAATAACTGGCAGAAAAATACATCATTCATTATCTGACAGACTATTCTGGCATTTAATCTTATTCTCAGAAGGGGCTAGGCAGGAGGCATACCCACATAAAAATTTATTGTGTTTCAAACTGAGAATGCTTTAAAGATTCTTTCTATTTTCATCTATGAGGAAGTTCAACTAGATCAATGGGTATCAGACATTTTCCTCATCATTGGTTACATAAGACAGTAATAATTTTTTCCAGGTGATCTATTAAACAATTACCTTGTTTTGATTCCTGAACAGGTGACTGTTTGCACATTCCCATATGTTGACTGTTTTATTATTTCACAGCCTGTAGAAACATGCTGATAAAAAAAATCCAGATTATATGACCATAAATCACCACAGGATGAATTAAGGCAAGCCCATTTCTGTTACTCTCAGGTGCTGCTTTAACCATGACTGCTGCTATGGTAAGGCAGAACAAGCAGGTTGTCACCCAAAGATAGAAAGTTACCACTGGGAATGTGAAGACAATGCTGCTGTCTGTGGTGAGTGAACAGTTCTAGTTTTTGGTTGGTGGGGGGTTTTTTGCTTTCCTTTTTTTTTTTTTTTTTTTTTTTT